CCAAGGTAGAATTTTATACAAAAAACTCACAATTTACAATTTTTAACATTTTACACTTTAAAATTCTCCCTGGATAATGACATCAGATGTATCTCGAAAAGCTTCGGCTGATTAATGGATTTGACATAGAATAAAAAGAAGAAATAAATATGGAACTCACAATGTGTTTGTATTTGAAATATTTAATAAAAAAAGTACCAAATATTAACCTAAAATTATTAACATAAAAAATGCCATATCGCTGTTCAAGAATATAACTGATGTCGTCCTTCGAATAATTTTATATGGTATTTTTTTAGAATTTTCGTTCACATAGCCATAAATTCAGCGTTTATTCAACCGTCTCCAGCATACAGCCACAGTATTACTTGATAGAATACTTTTATTTTACTAATTTTAATTGGATTTACTAAAAATCTTTTTCTTCCTTGGTACAGTACTGCATCTTTGGTAATGATCTGATTTTTCTTTCTACAGTAATTATTTTTGTTTGTTGAAATCCATACTATTTTCTTTCAAATATCACAACAGGATCCTTCTCGAAGTAATTCACTGTAGACAATTGAATTTAAAGAGAAGCATGTAATTAACTCTCTTTGAATTTGTACTTTGAGAAAATGTAATTCAAATTTTTCATAAATTCTTTTCATAATTAAATATGTAACAATAACAACAACACCGATGGCACGAGACTGAGGAAAGAGGAGTTTACCTCGACTAATGTTTTTTATTAAGGAATACAATTCTTCATCTTCTAAAACCTCATTTAACACCAACATATCTTTACAAAATTCACATTTAATTTTTTCAGTAGGGAATAGCAACAGTACCCTGCAATGTATGTCAAAATAGGCAAATCTTCATTATAATTTTTAATTTCTGCCAAAATTACATAAATTTCATTAAATAAGGGAGGTACCAGTATATCATTAACAATTCGTGGAGGCTCGGAGAAGACATCTTTTATTTCATTAAAGTTATTGCACCAAAAACATCTGACTTTAATCTGATTACAGAGTGTAAACAAAGTATTTTTTCAACTTCATACACTTGTCTAATACTGATATTATTATGGCCACCACTTAATTGTCTGTCCTGTCCAAACCGATCTTTTAGGACGTCAGTTTGAAACTTGCCAGGTATAAAGGACAAACAATTCATCTCACTTAAACATTATTTGGACAAATATATAAGTGCTTCTGTAGTTGGTGTTAGAGCAAAATGGATTTCTTTCGTCAATGAGCCTTTTGGATAACTTATATTCATTTTCTTCCATTTTTCTAGCCATTGTAACATTTCTTTAAGATATAGCCTACAATTTTGATGTCGGCTGCATAATCTGTTATGGGACACATGAAATCATCACTTAACCTATTTCCTTTATCAGGTGTTTTAAGATTAACAATTTTCCACCATTTTACAAAGATGTTGATGTAAACAGCTGTTTCTCTATAGTGAGGAAGCAGATGATTAGGGTCTAGAGTTAGAAGAAATTTCACATTTTGTTTTTCAAAAGCATTGGGAAGCAAAACCTTTAATGAAAGACCATGGCAATACTTTGCCAATTTATCATGTTCGAGATCGTACATTTCTCATAAAGTGTCAAACAAGATAATGAACGACATTATCATCTTCCTCAAATGTGGGATAAATCATGGAGGTCTGCTTTCTTTGCTTCAATCAGTTATGCCATATACATTTTATTATATGCACTGGATCAATAACTTAAAATAAAGTTCTACTCATATCTTTAGTGTGTTTATACATACAAGTAACATCTGAAGGATCAGCAAATAAAGACATGGCTTTTCAATTAATAGCATTACTATTTGAAACAACTTTAAATCCTATTTCTTCCAGTCCTAGAATAATTTTTCTGATCCACTGATGCAAACGATTACCCGTCCCTTTATTGACTCTTAAAACGTGTGCAACATCTTCGAAATTACTTAATATACTAGCTATCGTGAACATTTGGCCTGCATTTGCAGTAACCAATGAATCATTATTAGACATGCCAACCAAATTTCTATTTTTGTAATCAAAATACTCTTTCAAGTGTATTTCATCTATCAATAGAGTAATATAATGCTCATGAGGTTGTAAAAATGTATATTTTCTGTTCACATATGATAAAAAGTTGTATTCAAATACTTGAACTATCTGTTGAAAGTGTATAAAACATTCATATTGTCTTCTCATATTGTTAGTGCCTCATAACTTCTCTAGCAGTATTCGAGATAAATTCAAGATGCATAGATTAAAAAAATCTTAAAAATAATTGTTACTTAAAATGTATATATTGTGTTTTAATGCTTAAAATTGCCGAAAAAATCAGCAAAAAATTTCAAGGAATAAATCATATATATATAACAAGGTTGTTAAATATATTTTCCTAACGTATGATTATTAGCAGTGGTTATTTTTATGTTATTTGAGTCATTATCAATTCAGTTTGTGTTTAACATTAATTCACTTACCTTTGTCGTTTTGCTGACAATCAAGTTATCTCTAGGAATGGAACGTTTCCATTTTCCCACTAATTCAGTTTCCTTTGGAAATAAAAATACTTGAACTTACGGTCCGGTAACTGGTTATAAAGGCGACTGGATAGTCGCCTTTATAACCAGTTACCGGACCGTAAGCAGAGCCGGCCCTACCATAGGGCGAAAGGAGCAGCCGCTCCAGGCGCTAAGTCCTAGAGGGCGCCTCAGTGGTAAAGAAAATTAAAGGGTATAAATTTGGGGCAACCAAGGGCAGTGGCGTAGCGAGGGGGTGCAAGGGGGTGTATCAAGCACCGGGTGCCACTCGCAGAGGGGCACCCAAATGATCTCCAAGACAAACTATATGTGTTTCTGGAGGAGGCGCCAATAAAGTGTCGTGCCCCGAGCGCCAGTTATGTTCGCTACGCTACTGACCAAGGGGGCGCCATAATAGGATCTCGCTCCATCCTAATGTTTGCCTCGGGCCGACACTGACCGTAAGTTCAAGTATTTTTACACGTACAGGTGCTGTGTAACTGGTTATAAAGGCGACTATCCAGTCGCCTTTATAACCAGTTACACAGCACCTGTACGGCATTTTGCACGAGCTTATCACGTTTACAAATCCCTAATATTTATAAAATGCTTCAGAAACACAATCAACAAACAACAGACCCAAATATTCTAAAAAATTACGCAATATTTCAATTTAATTACAATTGTAAGCACGAGCACCTAGTAACTAAGTAACTTAACAGCGTATGACTACTCCTGTAATGGCGGACAACAGTTATCCCATTAGCACCCAAGGCCTGATTACGCGGGTGACGTTGGTCAAATGGGGTCGTAATCAATTTCCGTATGGTGTGAAATGAATCGCGCTCTTTTCAGTCTCCATCATCGAATTAATTCAATAGAAATGTAAAACATTCAAATAATTTAAATTAGAACAAATAAAAAATATTTCCTATACGACGAATGTAGAAAGGCGGCTCTCTTATTGCTCATAAAGCAGAAACAGAAAAAAATAAAAATAAGTGCCGTGTTCCTTAGCCTCTTTGTGTAACCCACAGCTCGTATGGTTCTAATTTCTCTAGACGTATTTCTAAAAATTTCACTTTTATTTTATTATTTTGCCAAGAGCTGGAAAGTCATTCGACCTGGTCAAGAGCCAAAAGCCGGGTTCTGTTTAGTTATTCGTCGCTAAGTAACTACTTTACCAGCTCTGGTCGACGTCGAAATCCTACTCAATCCCGAGCCCGATTTGAAATATTTTTGCGGTTCCTTACTTTTATTCGTGTCTTACTGTTTATTTATCAATTTCCCCTAGTTATAACGGAGGAAAAGTATGGCGATTAGGAAAAAATGACCCCGTTCTAGATTCTCACATTTTTGCGCTCGGGGGACCTCGAAAAGCCGATAAAAGAAAAAATTTTGGGAGATAATTTCTGTATCTACAAGAATAAAAGCGTGCCCACACACTGACACGTGTGTGGGCACGCTTTTATTCTTGTCTTGTATCATATAGTTGAACATGAGCTTCTAATCTCTTTGAACTCGGGACCTTTTATGTGATAACGAAATCTTGTTAAAATACAAAAGACTTTTATACGAGGTCTATTTTATCCCCTTTTTATTATATGTTTGGACACGCATATTAAATAAAATAAATAAGTTTGAATTCAAGCAATGAAAATGAAATTCCTGAAGTCAATTTAATGCTACATAAAACTACAAAACCGTCAACGATCTGTTCTAGAAATTACAAATTTAATAATACTTTTTCCGAATGTAAAAATGTTACTTCCATTTTAAACTTTCTGTACAGAAAATATTGTTTAATTATCGAAGTTTACATTTTATTTATGCTCAAGTTACGGCTTTATTATGCAATAATTATACATTTTATGATATAATTCGTAGACAAAATGTACAAAAAAATTACAAAATTAATATTCAAAACATAATTAGTCAAAGTATAAAAAATTAATTTCAATAGAAACAAATGAAAAATAATAGCAATTTGCGAAAAATTATTTACTAAAGAGTTCAATTATGTGGAGTTTTAATAAATTTGCCAGGTGTAAACATTATAATACATCACTTCTTCTTGCTGAGTTTTCGACACTTTCTTTTTTGCGGCAATAAGCAAAGAAAGTAACAATTATCAAACCTAATAACATTAGCGAAGTAAGAACAGCCACTGCGATTTTCCATTTAAATACAGAAATAACTTCGTCGGAAGACACATCTATTGACGACGTCAAATTATCGTTTCGAATTTGTTTACATCGATCATTAGAAAGAATTTCGATAAACGACACAGAAGACGAATTAAATCCCACGCAGAAAATATTAGAGAAATCTGCAATCTTCTGTCGGTTTCTAAGCAACCAGTCCTTAGTAAATTGCGAATGGCAATGGCAATTCCAATTGTTTCTGGATAAGTAAATCTGAAATTCCGGCGAAACGTCGACCAGGTTCATTAAAACGGAAGGTAATTTGGTTAAACGGTTTCTGTCCAACCACAGAAATTTCAGGTTTGGCAAAAGAAAATAATCCGAAATGTTACTTATTAAATTATTACTCAGACGCAGATGGGTGACGTTCTTCCACGTCACACAATCGACATTTGACAACTCCTTTATGTAGTTATTACTCAAGTCGACAATCGTGGCATTCGGGACGAGAACTTCGGGAATTCCGTCGATTCCCTTTCTGGAACAATTGACAGGTGATTTAGTTGAGCAGAACAATCGCATTCTATCGGACAATAATTTCCTATGACTACGAGCGATGTATTATCCAGCAAATTTCTTTCTTCTCCGTAACATTTCGTCTTCTCTATATTTGGAAACATTTTCTTTGCTACTTCTCTATTTGACTTAAAGACAGAAACGAATTGCTGTAGTTCTCGGTCACAATTAATTTCGTTACTAATTATATAATAAATCGGCATTTGAAATCCATATTTCCACTCATCCAAATAAATTGTTCGGATTTTACTGTTAAGCAAATACACGTGCATGTGATTTTGTGTGTAAATTGGCAATTTGACAGTTTCAAAATGATTATTTGAAAAATCGACTTTAGTCAAGTCGTATTCTGTCCAATTTATCACCGGCCATTGTGTCAAACTTGCATTGTTTAAACGGACGGTACGCAGATACTTGCTGCTGCCAAAAGGACGTTCACCAGTAAGTTTAGTTAAATTGTTCTTAGATAGATCGAGACGAGTTAAATTACTCAATGAGAGGAAGATGTTTTCGGGTAAAAATTTTAGGCGATTCTCTGATAAATCAAGTTTTTGCAATGACGACAAATTACGAAAAACATCTTCGGAAAGATTTTCTAACCGGTTTTTCGCCAAGTCTAACTCTCGCAGTTCAGAAAGTCCATGAAAAATTCGTGCTGGAAGTGTCGATATTTTATTATACGAACAGGAAAACTGTGTCAGTCGTTTGTTATTTCTCAGAAGATTTGGCGGGAGATGTTCAATTCGGTTAAAACTTAAACCAACGTATTTCAAATTAATTAAGTCAGAAAATACATCATCTTCGAGTGAAGACAAGGAACAACCCAATGCAGAAAAAACAGTCAAGTTGTGCAGTTTCTTAAAGAATCCGGACGGAATTTCTGATAATTTACGATTGTCACTAATAATAAGATTTAAGGATAAAATATCCTTAAATTAAAAAGATCTTTCAACATGTCACTGGGTAAATCCTTTATTTCATTTAATTCTAAACGTAAATATACGAGTTTGATGAGATTTCTAAAGACAAGTGGATGAATCGATTGAATTTTATTGTCACTTAAATCAAGTTGTGTCAATTTGTGAAGATTATAAAATAGATCTTCTGGTAAAACTGTTAAATTTCCACGCATGATGTATAATTCGGAAAGATTAATTAACTCTCGGAAAGGTCTGTTTGGAAATAAAGTGAAGTTATAACCTTCAATTTTTAATGAATTCAGCGATGGAAATTTGTGAAATGTTAAATTAAAAAGTTCCGAGGTCTTCACGTTTTGTATGTCGACAGATCGCAGAGAGGACATGTCATTAAACGAGGCGCTCTCGAAGTTTCTGTTATGCCGGTAGGTTTTGTACCATATCTTGACGTGTTCGATTTCATACCCAAAAGTGAAGATTCCAAAGTCAATCCCTGACAGATAACAATCTGTAAATTTTATATCTTGTACTTTTCTAACGTCCAAACATCGCATCAAACCAGAGTCAATCGTTTCCGCGCCGCACTTGATGGATAAGATTCTATCGAATATTTGAACGCGGGAAAAGTTCTTTGATTCGTCGCAGCTGTTTGCCAATGACATACAAGAAACATTCCCCCAATGTTGCCAAAACTCTTGACAGGAATTAACCACAAGAAATAGGAATTGCGAAAAGATAACCCACCTCATCTCGTCCAAATGAGTCTTGCATTTACATCGACAGACGAATCTCACAAGTACGATCCTCAAAAATGAATCAAGAATAAAACAGAATTCCGAACTGGCAATAGTCGATATCCTTACTGTTGCTACGTCGACAACACGATAAATTATGACGTCGGTGACATTGAATCGACATTTCCTACAGAAATATGACGTATAGAGTTTTTTATTTCTTCGTTTATTTCCGTTGCCGTAAAAGAAACAATATAAGATTAACGTTAAATGAATATTTTACGAATACAAAATTTGTTTCACACATTTATTGCAAGAAAGTTGTTCGTTTAAACAAATTGATATTGTAAATAAAATATTACTTGTTTTCTTTTTGTAAGACGTATAATAATGGTGTTAATCAATTGTGTTTTGTGACACGAAGAAATGTTTCTGTCCGACTTAAATTATTATTATAAAAATTTCATCACTGAATATGAAATAAATTTATTCGTTCGATTGAAAATTTTTCATCGGGTGAAAATTCAATCGTATTATGACGAAATATAAAATATTTCTTGCGGTTTATTGGTTATTTTTCTCTGCAGCTTAAAAGAAAATCAAGATATTCTTATTTGAGACAGAAGAAAAGTAATTAAAAGGAACAGAAATAATTTCCTGTGTGAATGAAACTGCCACCATTTCTAACATTAAAAGCATTTAATGAAGTTAATAAAAGTACACGATAATTGCGAAACTCTGTCAAATAATTTATGAATATTTAAGTAATAAGAATAAATTAATCTTTCCAGGAATAAACTTAAATTAAATGATGCACTTCGCATCCGAAAAAGATTACCTTTAAACGAGAACTTAAAAAGGAAGTATTTTGAATTTATAAAAAGCGAAATTCCAAGAAATAAAATTTAAAAATGAAAGTCCAACACATTAAACCACGAGGAAATTATTATATTAATTACAGTCGTTGGCGGCTTTTATTTATCAATTGGTCTTCTGTATTTAATTACTTTGTGGCCGCCAGCGCCAGAGATCCTGAACACTGTCTGGCAACACTTGCCAAGAAGAGTGGCTGGCAACGTCAAAAAAAGAAAAGGCGCGAAAGTTCGTTGGATTTTGTCCGGGTGTTGCCCGAGGATGTCTGTGACAGTTCTAACCTTTTCTAATAAAGTTCTTTTTTGTTACTGTTCGTGTTTGCCTGCTTAATGTTATATCTAAACATCAGTAGGATTGAATGACAAAACTTCATTAATCTCTGGCATTGATAATAACACGTACAATCACTTGGAAAAGTTTAGGATAATTTAAATCTATCGCCCAACCCGCCGACCTTTAAATGACGAGAAGTGGATAAAATAAAGTATTATGATGAAACTAAATAGCGAAATATTTAGGTGATGTTTTGCTTTGTCTTTATGTGAAAATATGAATTTCTAACTAAAACATTAAATAGTTATAATTTTCTACTTAAATGTACGATTTTCAAAACGTTTAGAACAACATTAATTAAATTGAGAAGTATTGTCTAATTGTAGGTAATAACTCTTGGAATTTACTGCAATTATGGGAGTTTTTATCACAGGTAACGTTGTGTTTCCAAGTTCTTTTGACTGGACTTGGAAAATGGTGATTATTTAACGAGACAGAAATGGCGATGTCTTTGAATATTTCCTCATCACATCAATGAAAGATCGTTGGCAAGATGACGATGCAATCTGTCGACGAGACGCAGCTTAAAGTTACGCGTGCAAAAATGACAAAGAATAGGTTACATCTTAAAATATAAAATCCTTGGATTGTCCCGGAAACACCAGAGTTGTCTCAGTTTGAAAAAGAATGATGGCGATAATCTAACCCAAGCAATAAAATAGATTTACAAGAAAAATGTACAAAATTTGGATCAAAAATTAAACTAAAACAATGAAAATCATTTATTGATTAGTACGTTAAAAAGAATTATTCATTAACTAGCAAATAAGCCCGTCGTTGCTCGGGCAAAGAGTAACGATAGCGAAGATTAAGGTTATACATTATAGCCAAGCTCACCCGATTTGACAAAATGCAAGAATTAGTCCTACTGTTTCCAGATAATTTAGGTTCTCCAGGGTAAGCGTTGATTTTCTCCCTTTCCCCAGTGGGGGTGGGGAGAATTTCGAAAAATCCCTTCTTAATGTACGTTTTCGTGACGTACCCTAATTGTGTATCAAATTTTAACTTTTAACTCTTAACCGTTTGGATTCCGCTGTTATTATTATTATTATTATTATGTTGGGTTTAGTGGACTATACTCGGTTGACACCGGTGTCTGTGTACTATGCCGAACCAGAGTAATGGCACAGCAACCAAAAACTAAAATTAAATAAGTGTCAGTGTCTGTGCCTGTATTCCGGAATTTCCTAACAATATAGCCATGTATTCAATATGGTGGCCTTCTGTAGTGTAATGTATGTATTTCTATTCAATTGTAATGTTCCCAGACTTTTGTGTAGTGTGTGGCATCACACCTGCACAGGAGAGAACGACAGATACAATAAGCACCCTATCCATCCTCCGCAGATGCCTTATTTCCTGGGCGAGTTCTGTATACTTGCTAATTTTTTCAATGCACGTGTTTCGTATACATTGTGAGTGTTTGGAATGGCTATGTCTATAATGTATGTAATTTTATTGTGTTTGTCAATGAGTGTGATGTCTGGTCCGTTATGGTAAATTGTTTTATCTGTAATTATGGCTCTGTTGTAGTACATTTTGTGCGTGTTGTTTTCCAATACTGTCTGTGGAATGTATTTGTAGTATGGTTCGTTGATGTCTAATAATTGTGTGTTTCTTTGCAAGTTCTTGGTGTATTATACTGTATTTGCTACTTGATTATGTCTGTGTAGATAATCCGTCTGTGCCAAGAGCTTGCACCCAGAAGTAATGTGTTGTATAGTTTCTGGCACGATGTGACATTTTCTGCATGTGTCATTGTGGGTGTTGTATCTTTGAGTATGTGTTTTCTGTAGTTTTTAGTATTTATGACCTGATCCTGCATGGCAATCACGAATCCTTTCGTCTCCCCAAAGAGGCATTCCCCGATCTGACCAGCTGTTTGACGCAGTTCTGTCAACAAAATTCTGGGCCAGGTCATAAGGATTCCTGCCATGGAGTGCCTTTCGAATTCACGATTGCTTGATGGTGTCTATGCTGTTTATATGTTGTGTCAAGTCTGTATGATGTGAGTGTAAGTTTAATGGTGTGTTATTTGAGTGTGCTAGAGATACTGCTTTATGTAACTGTGATGTTTCTTGTTTCTTGTAGAAAAACTCTCGCAGTGACTGTATTTATTTGTAGTGAAGGTTAACTATGTTAATCAGGCCACGTCCGCCATCTTTACGTGGAAGGGTTAATCTTTCTATAACGGATTTAGGATGTTGTTGTTTATGCTTAGTAAATGTTCTTGTTTTCCTTTGGAGTTGCTCGAGATCTGTGCGAGTCCAATGTATAACTCCAAAAGAGTATGTGAGTACAGGGACGACATATGTATTTATTGCTTTAACTGTGTGTTTTTTCATTTAACTGTGTTCTGAGAATAGCATTTAACCTACTTTGGTATTCTTTAATTAATCGTTGATTTATTTGTGTATGTTCTGTTAGTTTGGCCTGTTGGAATCCTAAATACTTGTAGAACTCTCCCTCTTTCATGGATTCAATAACGTCCCCATTTCCAAGTGCAAAATCTTCTTTCTTCAGGATTCCATGCGAAGTGTTTTTCATTTGTTTAAGCCAAACTCCATTTGTATGTCCTTGGTGTATGAATGTGTGATTTGTAGCAGTTGCTAAAGTTGTTTTTGTGTGGATGCATAAAGTTTTATGTCGTCCATGTACATGAGAAGTGACAGCGTAAACTGTATTTTCATGTCTGATATTGTAGCCATATTGCGTGTTGTTTAACATTTTGGATAATGGATTCAGCACTAGGCAGAACCAGAAAGGACTCAATGAATCTCCTTGAAAAATTCCTCGCCTAATGAACATTTGGTTTGTTTGTATGGAAGTGTTACTAACCCTGAAATGTAGTGTCGTTCTCCAGTGCTGCATAGTGTTTTGGGAGAATGCAACTGGTGATGAATGTATTTTGTACATGTGTAGAATATGTAGCAGCCAACTGTGTGGAACACTGTCGAATGCTTTTCTGTAGTCTATATACGCCATGTGTATGTTTCTGTCTTGTTTGTGTGCTTGCCGTAGAATGACTGAATCTCGATTAAGCACATAGATTTGAAACACCACGTCAAATTAGTAGTGGCTTAGTTTTCTGTTAGGTACGTCATTCTTTTCATTTAACAATAAAGTTGTGCCTGTCGTCCATTTAACTCCTTTCGGAGAGAAAATATTTGAATTGTAGTTACGTGACTTCCGGTTTGCATCGGACCTTTTGGTGAAGTTTCTATTTAAACTCCGTCTCTTCTAGTTGGTTTGCTGAATTAGGCACGAGTAGAAATAGTTCTGATGTAGGTTCGATAAAAGCACACCTCCATACTCAAGATAGTCAGTATACATCAGTGGCGTACCGTGGGTGACAGCCGCCAGGGGCGGAGGAAAATTTCGGGCCCCCTTATTTAGGTATTTCAGTTTAAAAGACCAAAATTCAGTTTAGTCAGAGAACAAGCGATGAAAAATTCGGTGGTAGTGCTGCGACCTGTTTAAAATCGTTCTATTGGATATTAGTGGTATAGCCTATATGAACGCTAATGAATCGTACAACCAAAAAAAAAAAACAAGTCAACAGGTTTTGCGGGATTTCCTCGGATAAAAAAATTGCCAGTTCACCCGGACGGCGAGCGGATTCCCGGACTGTCCGGACGATGGCACTATCGTAGGCGCGATGCGAGTATAGATTAGGATGTTTCAAATTTTTACAAGATATTATTATTATTTATTGTGAAATTTTGCCGCCCCCACTACGGTACGCCACTGGTATACATAGTTTATTTACAAAATATATATAGACTGTACGAGTTGGAAAACACAATAAATACAGGATACATCGAGCGTGGTGCCTCGCCTACTAGTTTGTCATTCGGGAACGATTAAGTTCTGGAGAAGCCTGTGTCGGCCTGTAGAGTAACTCTACTGCACGGTTTCTCCGGCCTCGGCACTTACCCGTTCCCGAGATATCTCGCAGAGGAGTATGTTGGCTCTCTTTCT